TGTGGTCGTTTTTCTTGGCAGAACGCATAGTTAGACTTCAGTCTGGGTCAATGACCGTGAGCTAACTGAGACCCTATCACCCCAGGCGTCCTTCAGGGCGCTCGCCTGCCCTCCCTCCATGACTTCATTTTTCGCGTATTTCTAATAGTTTCTTTAGGACATGCGTAATATATTTAGACTGGGAAACTATCCACAATAACTATAAATTTTTTAATTGTCCCTTAACTTCATGAATCGTGTCTACATTAATTCGGTAAAGTGCATTTAAATTTCTATAGGCCTAGTTCAAAATGCTTCCACCCCCTGACTAAGGGCGTTGCTTGGAGGCCTTTCTTTTAACTCGCCACGAGGCATGAGTGCTTCTGCCTACTTATGTTTTCCTGTTCGGCAGATCGGTCATTTTTGTTCTAACGTCTCTAAATATCACAGTAAAATTTCTGACCATATATATATATATATATATATATATATATATATATATATATATATATATATATATATATATATATATATATATATATATATATATATATATATGTAATATTCAGAAATTTCAGAGTAATTTCGAATGCCCCGCCATTGGCAACACTGAGCGTTCAAGGTCATGGGAGGGAAGAGAGCGCTTCCTGCTCATAGCGAGAGATGGTGGAACTAGGCCTATATGATATTAAATGTAATTTACCGAATTAATAATGATGCGATTCATGAAGTAAGGGACTATTATTGAATTTGAAATTATTATAGATCGTTTATCAGTCTGAATAATGTTACGGGTGTCCCAAGGAGTTATTAGTTAGGCGGAAAATATGTCACGTAGGCCTAAGCTAACGCCTTGAGAGACGCGACGCGGGCCCTCCCTGAGTCACGGAGAAGCATTCAGACATACAAGACGTTCCTGCGCGTCCGTCACAGAAATAGTCACGTGGCCTAGTCACATGTGCTGCGCTATTGCAGTATAACAAGTAAGTCTCATTCAATCTCAGACAGGGTTAGATAGGGCAGTGATAAAGTAAACTAGAGCTAACAGTGAGTTCATTTCAGGGTTTCCGTCAGAACCCACTTGATTGGAGTTGACAGGAGTTGACCGGAGTTGACTGCGAGAGATTGACTGCCGTTGATGATTGAGGGTGGCGATTGTCGCCATTGGACCGATCAGTGTAGGCCTGTCACTGTTTAGCGGGGTAGCAAAGGATCTCTTGAGTGAACGAGTGCTCCCGACAACTAAAACGACACGGGACCAGCATCAGCAGTGGGTGATCAGTTCTTACCACTCGGGTGCACAACACCACATGTCCCGAGCAGCTAGAAGTGTTACCTACTGGCCATAGACACCTGCTGGCGTTCTCTCTTCCTGCCCATGGACGCACTGGGAGTACACTGAGGCTAGCTGAGTAAATTAATGGTCACACACTGAGACCATGAGTCTAGGACTCTAGGAGATACCTAGAGGAACATTTTATCTCCCTTATTACGGGTGTATGTTGAGTTGGGTGGAGCATGGTTCACGGGTATTGGTGGACCCAGTAACAAACCAAAAATAGTGACAATATATTTGTGTGTAGTTAATACCATTTCTCAGTTGCTGATGTTATCTTGACGTGTGTGGTTTAATATTTCTTAAATAATTTTGATAGTATTGTTGTTTGAATGTTTGTGTCACTAAGTGGAACCAGAGTGATACTGTGATTTGATTCTTTAATGCATCTAATTTTTCTTCATAATTCTGATCTCAGGGATAACCTTTGTTCCCCAGAGTAGTGGTTAAGTTAGGTTAGGAAGAGTGCATCTGTTGGGGTGATATAATTTTGTTGAAAACCCTTAAGGCCTATTCATTGTAGAGTAGTTAATTTCTTATTTTTTAATACCATTTCCTAAGTGACTGATATTATTTTGTGAAAGCCCTTAAGGCCTGTTTCATGTGTGCAAGCAACATTTCTTAATACTTCAAATTTATTGTTGCCTGAGTTTCTAATAATTTCTATATCATGTATAACTTTTATTCCCCAGAGTAGTGTTTTAAGTTCAGGTTAAGAGGTGCGCATATTGGTGTACCATTATTTGATTGTGTTTGTAGTGTTGGAGGGAATATACCTAAGTGTCTAAATTTTACAGTGTGCCTCATTCATCCCAGTCACAGACGCTATCCTTCCACGGGTCACGGACAATTCATTTTGTTTAGTAGATTTAAGTGTTCTTGTGCTGGTTCGGGATTTTTCTCAAAGGGGCGCTTCCACTGCCATTACCATCTATTAATTTTTAATAAACCCCAAGTCAAGTGAGAAAATAAAGTCCCGTATATTCCGACCGGTTACATATATATATATATATATATATATATATATATATATATATATATATATATATATATATATATATATATATATATATATATATATATATATATATATATATATATATATAATATATTTATATATATGCTAGGAGTTATAATGGCTTCAGACACCTTACTCCAAACCTGTATAGGAACACTACGTAAAAT